TGGCAGGGTCAAAAGAATCTGTTTATGGAATTTATAGCTACCTTGAATTGAAACAATATTGGGACGTACTTCACAAGTGAAATTAAATATGATAGCATACATTTTTTGGACTTGGAGATTAAAAGGGGTGAAGGAGCTAATATTAATATACAACAATTGAACAAAAACTGACCTCCATGAATAGCCTGTTACATTGGAAAAGTTCACATCCAGCAGCCTTGAAAAGAGGAATCCCCACTGGTCAATTTATGAGAGCAAAGAGAAATTGCTCAATGGAAGAGGCATTCCAAATTGAGAGTCAAAAATTGTTTGACAGATTTATGAGACGTGGCTATCATAAGACTGATTTGATTAAATCCTATGAGAAAGTGAAAGGGGTTCCGAGAGAATCTCTGTTGGGTCAGAAGACCATAAAAGTGGATGACCAGCAAGGCATGCATATCATAGGTACATACTCAAATCAATCAGGGCAGATTTTTAACATCATAAAGATATATTGGAACATTTTGCATGAGGATAAATATCTATCACAGATCCTATCTAAAGACCCTAAGATAACCTACAGATGGGTTAGGAATTTGAGAGACATGTCACCTAGAAAGAAACCTCTAAAACCTTTGTTAACCCTACAAATTGGGATATTATCAAAATAAGAGATTTCAATAATTGAAGTACAGAGGGTGTGATTTATGCTTTAAAATGTCCATGCACCCTAATATATGTAGAAAAAACAATTTTCCCCTTTAGGAGACGGTTCTTGAACATGTGAATGATATTGCTCGAAACAAGGATAGACCAGTAGCAAGACATATCATACAAAAACATGATGGTAAGGCTGACCTCTTAAACTTTTGGATTACTGACAAATATAATCTGGGTCATAGAAAAGAAAACATAGATAATTGTCTTTTGACACTTGAAGCAAAATGGATTTTCCATTTAGGCTCAAGGGCACCTTATGGTTTAAATGAAAGATTTACCTTCTTACCTTTTGTGTGTGATTAGGGATTCTGTGCTTTTTTGTTTGATTTTGCTCTATAAATGCTATATAGTGGTATGAACTGTAATTTTGGTCCTTAACTAGTGGGACATTAACAGTGTTTGAGAGCACCAGCAATGTCTATTGTGTTGTGGACTGATGTGCTGCTGTGGTGTTGTTTTTTGTCCACAAGATGGCGTCTGTTGAGGTACTGAACATGTACAGGTTTAATCCACAAGATGGCATCTGTTGAGGAACTGAGCATGTGAGGGGGGGCCATTTTGATGGCCAGCATCTCTATATAGAGGTGGAACAAACGATAGGTGCCATTTTGCCACCATGTGAAGCTAAACACAACTTCCAGCCACTATGTGACCTATTTTAATTCTTTATACTCCTGACAAAGCTGTTTTTTGGAGTGAAACATGAGGAGTTTTTTTTTTCTTTGGGAGCACTTTTTGAATGCACATGGTATTTACTCCTCTCCCCCCCCCCCCCCCCTTTTTTTTGGAGAGGTCTGTACTGTGCTTTACAGTGCTTCATTTGCATTCCTCAAGACAGTGAGGTATTTTTGACTGGATACGGTGATGTATGGGGTTTGTCCATGAGAGGCTGACATTTAGGCCTGTGGATGAGTGTACACATATTACATACAGTTGCAAGAAAAAGTATGTGAACCCCTTGGGATTATGTGGAGTTTTGCATGAATTGGGCATAAAATGTGCTCTGAACGTCATCTAAGTCACAACAATAGAAGAACACAGTCTGCTGAACATAATACTACACAAACATTAGATGTTGCCATGGTTTAATTGCACATAACATGTAAACATTTACAGTGTAGGGAGGAAAAAGTATGTGAGGCCCTAGCTTAATGACTTCTCCCAGAGCTAATTGGAGCCAGGAGTGAGCCAACCTTGACTCCAATCAGTGTGATGATATTGGATGTGTTGCTGACAGCTGTCTTGCCCTTAAAAAAACACACACCTGTTTTGGGTTTACTGGTTTCAAGAAGCACTGTCTGATGTGAACCATGCCTCGCAGAAAAGAGCTCTCAGAAGACCTACGATCAAGAATGTTTGTTGACTTGCATGAAGCTGGAAAGGGTTAGAAAAGTATCTCCAAATGCCTTGATGTTCATGTGTCCACGGTAAGACAGACTGTCTACAAATGGAGAAAGTTTAGCACTGTTGCTACTCTCCCTAGGCGTGGTCGTCCTGTAAAAATGACTGCAAGAGCACAGCGCAGAATGCTGCATGAGGTAATGAAGAATCCCAGAGTGTCAGCTAAAGACCTACAGAAATCTCTGGCACATGCTAACATTTTTGTTGACACATCTACAATAAGGAAAACATTAAACAAGAATGGAGTACATGGGAGGACACCACGGAGGAAGCCATTGCTGTTCAAAAAGAATATTGCAGCATGTTTGAAGTTTGCAAAAGAGCACCTGGATGTTCCACAGCACTACTGGCAAAATATACTGTGGACAGATGAAACCAAGATTGAGTTGTTTGGGAAGAACACACAACACTATGTGTGGAGAAAAAAAGGCACAGCACACCAACATCAAAACCTCATCCCCACTGTAAAACATGGCAGAGGGAGCATCATGGTTTGGGGCTGCTTTGCTGCCTCAGGGCCTGGACGGATTGTTGTCATTGATGGGAAAATGAATTCCAGAGTTTATCAAGACATTTTGCAGGAAAACGTACGACCATCTGTCCGCCAACTGAAGCTCCGCAGAGGATGGGTGATGCAACAGGACAATGACCCAAAGCATACAAGTAATTCAACAAAACAATGGCTGCAACAGCACAGAATACGCCTTCTGGAGTGGCCCAGTCAGAGTCCTGACCTCAACCCGATTGAAATGCTGTGGCATGACCTTAAGAGAGCGATTCACACCAGACATCCCAAGAATATTGCTACACTGAAACAGTTTTGTGAAGAGGATTGGTCCAAAATTGCTCCAGATCGTTGTGCAGGTCTGATCTGCAACTACAGGAAACGTTTGGTTGAGGTTATTGCTGCCAAAGGAGGGTCAACCAGTTATTAAGTCCAAAGGTTCACATACTTTTTCCTCCCTGCACTGTGAATGTTTACATGTTATGTGCAATTAAACCATGGCAACATCTAATGTTTGTGTAGTATTATGTTCAGCAGACTGTGTTCTTCTATTGTTGTGACTTAGTTGACGTTCAGAGCACATTTTATGCCCAATTCATGCAAAACTCCATGTAATCCCAAGGGGTTCACATACTTTTTCTTGCAACTGTATCTGTAGCAAGACAGATTATACTATACAATTAGTTTTGTCTATGGGCTAACTTCATTTCCTTAACAGAGATTATATATTCAAGCTGATAAATTTATGATCAAACTACAGTGCCTCTTTTTATGCCGTAACTTCATCTAAAACGGTATGGTATTCGATTTGGTCTGGTGTTATTAACCATTTGGATGTAAGGTAAATAATTGCAATGGTATCCAATCATAATGTTGTGCACAGTACATTCCACTCCAACAGGCATTAATTACAGCTGAGCATACATTTTATATATATCTGAATAAAGCGTTATATTTTAGATTCATCAATTGGCCAGATGGTGCGTAGGGACACACACCCTCGTCCGGCATAGATTCTTTAGGGGGAACAGATTGGGACCAACAGAAAAAAAAAACATTTTTACAGTAACGATGGGAGTAAACAGTGTCCCTTCTTTGGTATTAAGGGGAGGTATAGTGTGATGTCAGTGAGAAAAATAGTGCCCCATCATTGGTGTCAGTAAAATTAATAGTGTCCCATCATTGGTGTCATTGGGAGGAATAGTGCCCCATGATTGGTGTCAGTGAAAGGGATTGTGTCCCATCATTGGTGTCAGCCGAGGAATAGTGCCCCATAATTGGTGTCAGTGGGAGAAATGGTGCCCCATCATTGGTGACAGTGGGAAGAATAGTGTCCCATCATTGTTGTCAGTATGAGGAATAGTGCCCCATTGTTGGTGTCAGTGTGAGAATTTATGATCATTTTAGTGGGAGGAATAGTGCCCCAACTCATTGATGTCAATGGGAGGAATAGTGCCCCATCATTGGTATCAGTGGAAGTAATAGTGCCCCAGCATTGTTATCTGTGGGAGGAATAGTGCCCATCATTGGTGTCACTGGGAGGAATAGTGCCCCATCATTGGTATCAGCGGGAGGAATAGTGCCCCGTGATTGGTGTTAGTGGGAAGAATAGTGCCCAGTCATTGGTGTCAGTGGCAGGAATTATGCCCCATTGTTGGTGTCAGTGGGCAGAATAATGTCTCATATCAGACAGATGAATAGTGCCCCAACAGCCAGATAAAGACAAGCAAAGGGACGCATATGGCCCCTGAGCTGCAGTTTGGAGACCACTGGTTTGGATTCTCCTGCTAATAATAAATACACTATTTCAAAAAGTATTGGGATGCCTGCCTTTACAGGCACATGAACTTTAATGGCATCCCAATCTTAGTCTGTAGGGTTCAATGTTTTGTTGGCCCACCCTTCTGCAGCTATCACAGCTTCAACTCTTCTAGAAAGGCTGTCCACAAGGTTTAGGAGTGTGTATATGGGAATGTTTGACCATTCTTCCAGAAGTGCATTTGTGAGGTCAGGCACGGATGTCAGACGAGAAGGCCTGGCTCGCAGTCTCCACTCTAATTCATCCCAAAGGTGTACTATTGGGTTGAGGTCAGGCCAGTCAAGTTCCTCCACCCCAAATTCGCTCACCCATGGACCTTGCTTTGTGCACTGGTGCGTAGTCTTCTTGAAACAGGAAGGGGCCATCCCCAAACAGTTCCCACAAAGTTGGGAGCATGAAATTGTCCAAAATATCTTGGTATACTGACACCTTTAGAGGTTCTTTTCACTAGAACTATGGGGCCAAGCCAACCCATTTAAAAAAACTCCATACCATAACCCTCCCTCCACCAAACTTTACACTTGGCACAATGCTTTCATTGCACTTGATGATGTAAGGCTTGGATACAGCTGCTCAGCAAAGGAAATCCATTGCAGAAGACCTCTACGCACTAATGTTGTGCTAATCTGAAGGCCAATGAAGGTCTCTAGCTACTGACTCTGCAGACAGATGACAGATGAGTGACTTCTGCGCACTGTTCGCTTCAGCATGCGCTGACCCTGCTCTGTCATTTTACGTGTCCTACCACTTCGTGGCTGAGTTGCTGTTGTTCCCAGTTGCTTCCACCTTGTTATAATACCACTAACAGTTGACCGTGGAATATTTAGTAGCAAGGAAATTTCATGGATGGACTTATTGCACAGGTGGCAACCTATCATGGTACCACGTTTGAATTCACTGAGCTCCTGAGAGCGGCCCATTCTTTCAGAAATGTTTGTAGAAGCACTCTGCATGTCTAGGCCCTTGATTATATACACCTGTGGCCATGGAGGGTTATTGGAACACCTGAATGCAATGATGTGGTGGGGTGTCCCAATACCTTTGGCAATACAGTGTATGTCTGCATAACTTTGTCATGCTATATTGAATAAAGGAATAATGACATCTTGGTGTATTACATAAATATAACCCAACATTAAATTTGTTTTCTGTTGATTGATTCCCTTATGTCAAGTTACACTAGTGAGGGTGATATAGATTAAAGAAGTATTAAACCCTTAGCATTTTCTAGTTTTAAAAATTGGGCACAATAAAATAGAATTTCTTTAGCAAATTATTTGTTAAAATTCTTAACCAGGTCTTTGCAGTTTACAAAATTCAATGCTGTTGACTCCTGCTCTTATAGTACTGTTTCCTTGGAATTTCCAATCTTCACAGGAAAAAGTGGACAGTCCAGTCTCTCAGGCCAGCCTGTTAGCTTGGAGAAGCGCAGTGTAAGGAGGAGTAAGGAGCAGGGCAGTTTCTTGCCATCCTAAATTATGGGGCTGTGTGTTTCTATTGATGCACACAGTGTAGGGGGATTCAACTCTAGTCATTGCATGCGAGGGTGGCTCCATAGGATGTTGCAAGAGAAAGGAGCCACCCTGAATTAGGAAGCCTAGAGCAGTAGACATGGCACCATCTTAAACTGGAACATAGGAAAGAATGAAAAGATAAAGAAGCTCCATAGTAAGTAAGTGATTAAATCAGCTGCTTAAAGTGCTTAAAAACCAAGGGTTTAATATCACTTAGTCTTCCTAGATTCTTATTTTGCTCTATTTGCTAATTATAAAACATTATCTTTACTGCTCAAATAAAGTATTAGAGAATTTCAACAAATACAAACATTGATTTGACCCTACTAACCATTAGCAAATATATAAAACATTCTGAATTTGATTGTGAACAAAATTCCATTCCTGTACACTCCAAAACATGCTGGTAGGTTAATTGGCTCCTGCCTAAATTAGCCCTAGTATGTTTATGTATGAATGTAAGTTAGGGACCTTAGATTGTACACCCCTTGAGGGTTAGGGACTGATGTGAATGTACTATATATATATATATATATATATATATAATATATATATATGTGTGTGTGTGTGTAAAAGTACTGCATAAATTGACAGCACTATATAAGTACCTAAAATAAATAAAATGTATACCCACCATTTGTTGGCTTACAGGAAGATCTTGATGGCCTGAAAATAACATGGAATGTGAGAACCCTTGTAATGACTATAGCAGGGTGCAGTGCTCAGACCTGAGGCCCAAAGGTTTATTCCCCTGGAGTTCCAAAAACAGCTTATTAACCATTTCCTTACCAATGGTTATCACATATGTTTTCAGTCAAATACTGTAACTTTTTATTCAGAAGATTTTTCTGATACAAAATATCGTAAAGTGACATACTAGAAAAATGTTGTATCCAGCATAGAAAGACGTACAAGAGCTAAAAAAAGAAACAAATCCTCCTTTGAAAATGGTATGAAATGTAGCCAACATTTATAGAAAAAAAGCATTGTGGGGTTTATTTACTAAAGCTGGAGAGTGCAAAATCAGGCTCACGGTGTATAGAAACCAATCAGCTTTTAACCTCAGCTTGTTCAATTAGACTTTGGCAATAAAATCTGGAAGCTGATTGGTTTCAATGCAGAAGTGAGTCTGATTTTGCACCCTTCAGCTTTTAGTGTCTTCCAAAAGTGATCTATGTAAGGAACAGAAAGCAAACAAAAAAACAAGTACTATGGTCATGGTCAAGCAACTGGGGATCTATGTTCTACGAAAGAGCAACTGGGGATCACCAAGTACCAGAGGGAAGAGGGAGGGAGAGGTTCAGAAGCAGGAAAAAAAAGCAGAAGAAGCAGAAAGAATGATCTACCCTGTCTCTGGGATCAACTCAGGACTATCAAAAAAAATCTGGACACATTCAATCAAAATGGGGAGAGGATTTGGCAGGAAAATGGGGGCTGATTCACTGTGAAATTAGGGTGCAGAATTTGTCTGAATCACTCTAAGCCCGATAGCAGGTCCACTTGGTACAAACCTTTTCCAAGTCAGTGCTATCTTCTGCTACAATGGTCTCCATTGTCAACATCTCGTAGAGTATCTGGGCCCATTCAAGGATATGTCTAGGGGAGGTGGAATTCCAGTGACGAAAGATGTCAGCACGAGCTACCAGCGGATAATGTCTCAAGAATCCTTTTTTTATTTTGGAGAAGGACCCAGGGATCATCGACAAGAGGGCAATTTCAGAAGCGACTTGAAAATCAGAAAGACGCATCATATTATAAGAGGTGAGGACCTGGTTCCAAAACAGTGGAATCAGGCAGCAACATATATGTAAACAAAAGATCCTTCACCTACGAAAGAAGTATGTGTAAGAGTAAGAAGGTGATGGGTGTGTTAGATGGGAGTGAAAGTTTGGAATTGATAGGTGGTTTGAGTGAATTGCAAGAGTAAGTGAATGTGGAGAAATGTGTGTAACAAGGATCTTGTAAATAGACAGAAGATGTTGTGTGGATGGCTGTGCATAGAAGTTCACCGACAAGTTTCAGAGGAGGAGAGGTTTTGTGGATAGTGAGGTGTGTAGGAGGGTGGTGAACGTGTAGCATTTGTTTTGGGAATGTGACTTTGCAAAAAAGGTAAGGAATAGTTTGATGAAAATGGTGAAAGGTTTGACTGGGACAGAAAGGGTGACTTTTGAAATGATGTTTGGGTTATGTAAACTGGTAGAGTGAAGAAAGGGTTTTTTCAATGTTGATGAACTGTGTAAAAGAGATTCTGTGGGATGTGCGAAATATCTTGGTGTTTAGTAAGGAGGAAGTAAGTGTAAAAGAGTGTGCTGCTATAGTCCGTGGAAGGCTATATCTATATGCATATTGTGATTGTAAAAAAAATATGGTTTTAAAGAAGCACAAAAAGTTTGGAAATTGAGCGGGTAGAGGGAATGGAATAAGTGATGGTATGAATAATGATGATGGTGGGTGTGGGATATGTAAATCATTGTGGGTGGAGGGTAAAGTTTTGTGGATTTTGAGGGTATGATATGATTTTTATGTAGTAAAGGGCGGTGGTGGGATTTTTTGATGCTAAAGTTTATATATATTGGAGATGGTAGGGGCGGTTTTTCTGTTATATAGAGGTTTGAAGGGTGATGGGAGGAATGTTTTTTTGTTTTGCTACTATAAATTTTTTAATTTTAGAGTGAAAACAATGTTGGAGGGACAGTGGTGGAGGGAAAGCATAGGGTGTTTGTGTTTATATGGAGGGAAAGGTGTATATTTTATTATTTGGTTTTTGATTTTTATTTTTTGTAAAAAACCTTTTAATTACTTTTTAAATAAAAGATTTTGTCTCAAGATTTCTTTTTGGATTTTGGATAAGAACCCAGGGATCATCAACAAGAGGGCAATATTATCATATTATAAGAGGTGAGGACCTGGCGCCAAATAATAAAATCAGGGGGCAACATATATGTAAAAAAAATCCTTCACCTTCACTTACTTTTGAACAGGGCACCTTTTTGTTCAGTGATGTATCAATTAAAGTGGTTGTAAACCTTTGCTTTTTTAATTAAAATTACAGACATGTCATACTTACCTGCTCTGTGCAATGGTTTTGCACAAAGCAGTCCCAATCCTCCTGTTCTTGGGGTCCTCGCCAGTGCTCCAGGCCCCTCCCCCCACCCAAACTAATTCTTTAGCTTGGATTCTGGTAGTTACGTGGTTTGGTTTATTTCCTTCACACCTTTTCTTACTTTTTTCTGTGCTGTTCACCCCTTTTTATTTTGTCCTTTAAGCTTTTATAATGAACCTTACTGAAAGAAACATCAAATGTTGCACAAGTTGTTTGTGAAAGGGCCATAGGGAGCACAAATATGGAAGCACTGATTTGTAAATGGGCTGTAATAGCATTCATCTCTCATAGTCTACTGCATGTTAACATGTTGCCAAGTCCTATGCCATGAATTCAGCCTCTGACCATTTCTTTTAGCATGCCCATTGCCTTTTGAACATCTATTGTTTCATGTATGCAGTATCAGCCTTCTGTAGCATTATATTCGTTGAATATTATGTGCAGGACTTTGGTGGTCAGAGGCTAGACTAGAGCAAGGGCTTTAATTTGAAGTATACTCTATGTAAAGCACAAACATCTCTGTAGTTTTAAATAGAGCAGGGAATTATTAAAACTGTCAGGTTTTCTTTTTTACTTGTGTCTAATTGAGGAGATTATTCTTAACTTTCTGTCAAACAGAAAGCCTTTCCAAAGTAAGGGTCACTATACAAATTACAATCTGACTATACAATTCCCCATACAAATTAAAATCTGACTATACAATTAACATTGGATTTACCAAAACTATGTAATATGAGGACCTTCTGAGCTACCGAAAAAAAAATATCCACTCTGGCAGGTCCTTGTACAACATAGTGGTTAGATCTAAAGGAGAAGTTCACCTTTTGTAACATGTTACTCCGATACCCCAATTTGACACCTAGTGGGGGATCTCCACCTACATCATCCATTCAGTGTTCTGTGAATAACACTACAAGTCCAGACAGCTGTCGGCTTGTTACATAGTTAGTCTGGCTGAAAAAAAGACAAAAGTCCATCCAGTTCAACCATAGAAAAAAGTTATAATCCTATACCCATAGTTGATCCAGAGGAAGGCCAAACAAAAAAAAAACCCAGCAAAGCATGATCCAATTTGCTCCTGCTGGGAAAACAAAGTGCCTTCCTGATCCCCCGAGAGGCAATCAGATTTTCCCTGGATCAACTTTACCTATAAATGTTAGTATCCAGTTATATTCTGTGTATCTAAGAAACAAACCAGGTCTTTTTTGAAGCAATCCACTGAGCTGGCCAGAACCAACTCTTGAGTCTATTCCACATTTTCACAGCTCTCACTGTGAAGAAACCTTTCTGTGTTTGGAGATTAAATTTCTTTTCCTCCAGATGTAAAGAGTGCCCCCTTGTCCTCTGTGATGACATCAGGGTGAATACCTCTACACCAAGTTCACTATATGAACCACTGATGTACATGTTGATCATATCCCCCCTTAATCTCTTCTGTGAGCTACCAGGGCACTGTTGAGCACTCTGGGTCATTCATTGAGCTTCTCATCATTGTGTAAATTCTGACAGTGGGTGCAGGGAGAAGATCTGTCACAGGAAGTTAAAGAGTGCAGCTCCACCCACATCAGTTTTCTCTGCATGAATAGGCTACAACTACTGTCAGCCATTACAGCTGATGGCTTACAGCTCTCATTGAGCTATGAGGGTGCAGGTGAGCACTCTGGTAGTTCATTGATTCTTCTTACTTTCAATTAATTGCCTCTACAAAAAGACAACTAGCCTGAGATTGCACTCAGTGTGTGTGGGGGGGGGGGGGGGGTGAATTGCCCCATTGGGGAATAAAATCTTAGCAGGAGGTTAGAATCCTTACCTACTCTATTCAAATGCATTTGTCTAGCTACAGCTGACTTGTGTATTTTAGCCATCTATGGAATTTAGAAAGTACTGGAGACAAAATTTAATCAACACCTTAAAATTCCAGGGTTAATATTTTGAAACCAGCTAACCTGTGAAGCATGCTCTTTTTGGCCAATGCAGTGCAATGATAACCATTTCTTCTTGTGACTCAGTCCAGTGAGGAAAAAAAAAAAAAAAGTGTCCATTTGAAAATAAAGTTCCTGCCTTGACTCAAGACCTCCATCTTAAAAAAGGCACATTGGCAGTTGTACAATGGAGTCCATTACCAACGATTACTAGCTATTAATGTAGACACGTCACTGTAAAGCACTTATGAACCCAGTTCAGTTTAATACATCTGACCACATACCAGTCACTGGGCAAACCCTGCTTCCAATAGTTGTTTTTGCTAGTGTATACATACACCCTTCAGAATTATGGAATAAACAATGTTGGGAATACTCTGATTTGCCTTAGCAAGGTTCATTTAAGTCATGCACTAGATCTGGAATCTCATGCCATTCGGTATGCAGTTACTTTAACTGCATACAAAGTTGACCTTTTGGCTTTTAACAAATTAAATGCTACAATAGAAAGGGGTATAGTGTGGAGACTAACATGGAGTCTGCTGTGGCATCTGAGAATAATCAGTTGTGAAGCTTCTTAATGTCCCACATATCACTGATGTCTTTAACCCACCATCCATGACCACTGCAAGCTAAGAGTCATGACCATGTGTAGGAGGTCAACACATTAGATCACTGAATGTCAGCAGCCACCATGAACTAAAGGAACTTTTATCAAGGAGGTAAACATATGGCATCTACATATTTTGCCTGGCATACATCTTAAATCCCCTTATATTTGTGTCTGTAGCTAAATACCATTTCAGTGTCAGTCAAGTGGAAGACTCAAGTTTTCCCTTTGATGCTCCAGCTGTCGTCTGCTTTTGATAAAAGCTATTGTATCAACTTTTATTGCAAGCAAAAAAAGGTGTCAACAGAAAAAGTCTACAACCACAAGTTAGCAAGACTTGCATGGATTTTTATTATACTTTATTATGTAAAAACAGGTCAGATGACTTTCTGCCAGTACACAAGCTACAAATGCTTGAGGGACAGCTGTGCATCTTTAATACAGTTTGGAAAAAAAAAAAAAAGGAATAAAAAAAAGAAAAGAAGTTTCCATAGGAACACAGATAAATGTGACCCCATCTCACAGTCATCCATTTTGTTGCATTAATGCTTAACATTTCAAACTACAAGTGAACATTAAATAATGGTCCCAAAACTGAATCCCAATAGTCATCCTAAAATAACTGCTAAGTATAACTACTAACATTAAATATACTAGACATTGACACTTGCAGAAGTACATGTGGTAGAGTTCAACTCCAATCCACTTTCCCAGGCACAGGATACATGGACAGCATTCAGCTCCGGCACCTCAGGAACAATACCGTGTTCATGGATAGTATGCATTAATTGCCTATGAGGAAAACAAGACATTTTAGTTTCACACTCCACATACCACATTTTTAGCTAAGTCCCTTTCAAAATGTATGCCTTTCCTTACCAGTGCGGTCTTGACATGACATAATAGAGAGTTGGTCGCTGAAATCCATTGAATGTAGAAGATGCAGCCACAGTGTAGGCACCCATGTTCTCAAACAGCATCCAGTCCCCCACCTGCAGCTCTGGTAGCTCACATCGTTCAACAATGCGATCCAGTCCATCACAAGTTGGTCCCCAAAGGCTACTAGAATAGAATTTCTCATCGGGTTTTGGTTTCTGCAATAAGAAAAACAAACACCACTTTTAGATTTCAATGCAGAAAAAACCCATATTCTACCTGCCTTATGGCAAGAGGCACCCTGTGCCATCCAGTGTTAGAGCTCATAATAAAACCTAGTACAAAAAAAAGAAGAAAAAAAAAAAAAAAAAAAAAAAGAAGAGTACTATATAAAAACACTCTAGAACCATTTCCTAGTAGTCAAACTCTTTGGGGAAGAGACTTATGGCAGGAATACAAGGCAAAAAAGCGACAGATCAGTCATCCAACAACCAGTGTTCGTTGGTCCAACTTGTGGCCCACATTAACCAATTGTTCAAGCAATATGTAGTGTTGATGTCTTCTGTACAAGTGGAAGTGATGCAGTGTGTGACTTTGTAGCCACGCCCTGCTGCCCAGAACAAGTGATTGGACATAATCCTTGGAATTAATTGGATTCATGGATATTATTGTAATAAGTTGGTTTTATGGATCCTTTGACAAACATCTGGGTCATCTTCTGTTTCTGCTCAAGTGTGATAGCGCTTAGATTTTTTTTTTTTGCGGACAACAGTCATACCACTGCATAGAAAAAAAATTGGTCTTTCGAATGCGAAACGATAATTTTTCACTGTTCAAAATAGTTATCGGTTATAACATCCTGCTCAACGAAGAGGAACAGTCGATTTGATCAATTTTTCATATGATTTTCTTACCATGTATTCCTGGCTTTAGAGTTACATAATGGGTCAGAGGCCACCAGAACTTTGGCAGCTGCTGTCAAAAAAAAAAAAAAAAAAAAAAAAGCCAAAAACACCCAAGGATTTAAAAACAGGAGGTCAGACTTCAACTAAAAAGTGAGTGGACCCTAGACAATCCTAAACTTCTAGCTGGAGAGTGCAATTGGGGGGGGGGGGGGGGATTAAAAAAAACCCCACACAAACGTTTAGTGGTTCTTTACATAAATATGGAGATCAGAAAGGGCAAAAAAAAAAAAAAAAAAAAAAAAAAAAAAAAAAAAAAAAAAAAAAAAACTACATGAACACACCAGGGGGTTGTAGGACAATTTTAAATAGGCCCTTATAATCCTTTCAATAAACATACCTTTTGAAGTATGGGTTTGACATGGGCATGGTCATACAAGATGCAATTGAAGGAGCCATAGACACCATCGTTTACATAGTACATGAGTGTTTTGTCACTGGAAGCATCATCTTCATCTGAAAATATAATTTAATGTGTTAAGGGTGCAAATTAAGTTTCTCAGCATGACAAAGTTGTATCTGTGTGCACTACATACCATCAGATCCAGTCTGTTCAGTCAGCATGACTTTCTTAGCTATTATATTGACAGCCAGTGTGAATGCAGATGCAACATAGTATCTCCCAGGCTCTGCAATGATTTTTACTCCTGAGTCAGCAGGAAAATATTTATCCAAGGCTGGGTTTATCACAGATGTCACCTAAGGAGGAAAAAGAAAAAAATACTAGATTTAAAAACAAATTCAGATTACCAATTAGGAGACAAATTTAAAGTATCTAAGCCTATAGCCTAGCCGCTATGGAAGCACTATTCATCGGGGGGGGGGGGGGGGGGGGCCCCTCTTGCTCCTTCAAAAGAATTTTGAAGCAAGAGCCGCTGAAATTAAAACTAGGAAAGTTGAAGCTCTAATCACTGCCAAGCACTTGGCCGTCCACATCAAACCACCACTGCACACAGATGTATCTACATACTCCATCTTTGATGGTTGCAACTTTAATGGAAAAAAAACACTAATGAGCTAGACTGGGAGGCAGCAAGATCCCCAGTGACTTCCCCTAAAATTAGTATATGCATTATATTTCCAAGTACACTGAATATATGTGCCAAGTCACAACCATAAGATGGAATTCTGTGATTTATCAATTTGTGTGTGCACAACTATTGCACTTTAAAAACACTTTCCTATGTTATTTGAGCTTAAGGTTTTCCCAAGAAAAAAAAAAAAAAAAGTTCGAGGATTAAGGCTGAATGAGTATACAGTGTGCAGCTCTATTGTATTTATGAAAAACAGTAGTGGCCAAACCAGAGTTACAGAAAATATGAAACAAAGTGCAGATGATCCACATGAACATATTTATCAGTTAGTTAGAAAGGTTTATATTCACCCATCTGATGCAAACAATCCCCTCCATAGGTCAAGAATCACAATGAATAGCATTTTTTACCTCTTCAAACTTCAGCTTAACATCCTCAGATCCAGGAAAGCCACCACCAATGTCAAGCAAGTGCATGTTGAAGCCAAGTTCTGCTCCCATATCAAAGACACAGCGAGCATCAGAAACAGCCTGCACAAAGGTTTGTGGGTCTGTGCAGCCACTGCCAACATGGAAGCTAAAGGGACGGAGATACAAGATTGTGAACTCCTAGTATTCCAGGCTCATTCATACATGTTAAACAATGATTCAGCAAAACTGCCTAATGCTCAAGGGAGCTCTTGTTCCTGACTGAAAGTTGAGCCATCACTCAGGAAAGCTCAACTGCTACACCAATATCCACATTTAATACAGGACCTTAACATTATAGTTACAGTCTTAAAGTGGCTGTACTGGGTCACTGGTTAAAACAGTAGTAAACTGCCCCCCCCAAAGAGGGAAAAAAAAAAAATCTCCCTGCAAGAGCATAGTGTGCTAGCATGGATCGCATATTAGCACATGCTCAAAAGACTTGGAAGCCCTCCAATGGAGCACTGTCATGGCTCCCTGGTCTTCCTTCCAGGTTTGTGAGTTGCAATCTGATTGACCGAGCCATATCATCCCTACTGTGTATGTGCGAAGTGAGTTTCAGCTACGGCGTGGCTCTCAGTGGATGGCACAGTGCATGCGCCAGTGACATCACCAGCACTTCCATCATAAATATCTCCTAAAAACTGCACATTTACAGCACCTACATGTAAGCCTTGTTAAAGGCTTACCTGTAGGTAAAAGTTACCAAAGTGTGTTTACTTCCACTTTAAAGACAGCAGTGAGCCTTTGGCTCCCACTGCTCTCAATCACAGCCAGTGACCCAATGAGGAGAGAGCAGGGGCAGGGACAAGCCATGGCTCTACCAAGTCTCAGATGCATAGAGCATGGCTTGGAAGCAAGCACAGTGCCCCAACAGAATTGGTGTGCTATTTGGGGCACTGGTCAAGAGGGAGGGGCCAAGAGTGCTGACGGGGGAACTGAAGATGGGGCTGCTCCATGCAATGCCAAGTATGAATTTTCTTCTAAACTAAAGCAAACATCCTTATAAGCTCATGCGTTTAAATTAATTACTCTAAAAGATCCATACCTTACGCCAATGATATCAACATTCAGTTCTTTAGCACGTTCAAGAAGCAATCTGCTGGTTTTAAGAGTGGCACCAAACTTCACACTTAGCCGACACACAGCCTTAGAGTCATCTGTGGCTATACGCAGAACAAGTCTGAAGGAGGAAAAAAAAAAAAAAAAATTGATTACATCATTACTTCAAAGCTGTTAAACAGTCCCAATGCTTCAGACAGGTCTGCTTTTTAGACACATTCACTTTTAAAGCCTTTCAAACTTACTTGGCATTGGGGTGATTCCTGGCCACTTTCATTAGTTCCACCTCGCTATCAAATGTCATCTTCTCAACACCACAGCTAGCTGCATATTTGATCTGTGAAACTTGCTTACATGGGTTTGCATAAATTATTCTCTCTGGCTGGACACCAATGCTCTGGACAAGCTGAATTTCAGTCTGAAGAGAACATATTGGAATACAGATTTAGAGAACAAACGCACACCACATACAACTTTTCTTCATTTAAAAAAAAAAAAATATATATATATATATATATATATATATATATATATATATATATATATATATATATATATATATAAATAATTTTTCTTGGCTTGTGTTCTATTACACACCTTGCTGGCACAATCAAATCCTGCCCCCATGATGGAGAGAGTCTTGACAATGGCTTTGCTGTCATTGCATTTAACGGCATAAAAAGGAGTTACACGTGGCAGCGCTTTAAACCACCGGATGTGTTTCTTTACAATGTCACCAAGATCAGCTACATAAAAGGCATCCTTGTCATCCTGGAAAAAAAAAAAAAGAAATATTTACTAAAGTTAAACATTCCAATTGTTATTACATCTGCAACTGTGCTATTGTGATTACTCAATACTTACAGACAAGGAAACTTCGTTGATTTTCTGCTCCAGGATGTCCCGGGCACTGAATCCTTCTTCAAGGAAGCTAAAGTCAAAGTCTTCGTTGCTAAAGCTGTTCATTGTCTCAGTGTCACAAGATCACAACACGAAGAATGCAACAAACTGTAAAAGCAAAGAGCAGACTGTTTAGACACCAAACGAGACTCAGTGCCTACATTTGATCAGGGGTAGGGAACCAGGGACTGCAGCTGTGCTGAAACTACAAATCCCCATCACTCCTCTGCAAGTCACACCTAGGACAGTCTTACAAGGTCTTATGGGACTTGTAGTTCCACAACAGCTAACGCACCAAGGCTGCCTTCCCCGGCATTAGATGCATCGTATCTTCTAGGGTACTTACATGGACAAGTGAGAGATGGGGTTTATTGCAAAGAGGGCCTCAGCTTTGCTCCCAAGGCGGTTCTCCGGTGAAATAGAAGCCCGGAAGATAAAGAACAAGACCTACTCCAACAAAGGAGCTGTTCTTCGCTGCTGTGCTGTTAGAGTTCTGCAAGATAAAAAAGACAACAACCTTAATCCTTAAACGCCATCTGTAAGCACTTAAGCGGATAGGCTGAAATGTAGAATTCTGGGAGCTGGTGGAAAAGGGGAAAAAAAAAAAAAAAAAAAAAAGCTGCAAGACCCACTGCGTCATACACCCAGCCAATTCAGTGAATGACTAGACAAAATGAACACACCCCTGTCCGGGAAGCCAACAGCGTGTCACAACCGGCAAAAAAAAGAATGACGTGCGATCGGAGGCAAAGCCAACCAATAGGCTAGAAAACCGGCATCTGTGCCTCTCTGCTATTGGAGGAGGTGGCCTCCTGTTCTTGACAGCATGGTCTGACCTCAGGGTAGAGGAAAGCTCCCAGCATATGGGGCAGCAATGCCCCATGAAGCAGGACTGCCATTCACTACAACACCCAGTACAAACCCTTCCCAACCAAAATCACAAGAGAGACCTTCTCTCATCCTAGGGACATCATGCTGGCATTCATGGACCTTTAAAAAGAACCATTAAAGCCACCTTGACAGATTTACACTTTTAAAGACACATTTATTTATTCTAACCCACTTGTAAAGAAGTCAACTTTCAATTGCCTAGGTTACTAAAGCATCTAGAGTTGTGAAATATGCATGTTAGTTAACGGTCACCATCCTAAAACCAGATGGAGGACACATGGCTGACAGCACATTGCCTTCAAAGAAACCTAGAATGAGCTAGAGCCCCTACTATATGTCCTGGGAAGCCCCTCATATACCGATCCTTTAAAAAGTTTAAACAGGCATGTATCTTAGTTCACAAAAGGCTGATGGGAAGATGAATGGAGGCAATTCTGAGAAAAGCACCCATCCCCCATTAAGACACATATCCAACCCAATCCTTGGGACTTTATATACAATGAAAAGTAACCAAACTATAAAAGATCAACAAAAATGCATTTAAATCAAAAAATATATAAAATTAAAGAAAAAAAAAAAAAAAAACACACCCACACAAGTTTTCAAACCCACTCCAAGATTAAATACAAAAATTAAAGAAAAAAAATTAAATGCATTATAAAAAAAAAAAAAAAAAACTAGCCAAGTCACGAAGTTAACACAAGATAAGGAGATCAGAATCCCTATAGGGAAAAAATAGACTTTCATTTACATAAAAAAACGTTGCAGTCACATGGTTCCATTGAAAAGGCCTATCCTTGGGATAAACTTACCTTAAAAAGCATTTACGAACGCTCTACCCATCGAGGAACCGAATCCTCAAGGAGAAAATGGAAATAAAAAGATTCACGGACGCGCTGCAAACAAAGCTCCCTTACACCGAGCAACCTGACACTAAGTGCACCCAGGCGCCGGCTCCTTTTATAGGCGGGTTTCCGTTGCCCTGACAACACGCCAGCTCAAACCAGCGCTGATCGGTTTGTTCCGGGAGTTGCCTCGACCACGCTTCAAGCGCGCCCTGCCTGCTTGGCCCTTCTGCTCTTTTGTGACGTCAGCGCCCGGCCGCTCTGGTGCCGCCCCCCTCACAGGCGATGACTGGGGTCCGTTTACCGTTAATGTTTGAATGTGAGCGCCGGCCAGAGCGGATAGAAGACTTCCGAATGGAACGAATCCTCATAGTGACAGGATTAGGCTTCGAATGGGACTCCAAGTTGTGAAGTATAACGCGGGGCGGCAACGGTTCACGTGTCATCACTGAACCCTCGGCCATGTACACGGTGTGGAGGGAAACGCTTCACCGGACAAACCACATTCTGACCCTTCCTAATCATTATTTCCAATGTCTTCAAAAAGAGGGCCGATTCCACCACTCTGCTTTACTGCATTACAATGTATACAAATTCAACATTACAATTTTATATATATATATGTTGTTAACTTTCTCTCATTGGATTATATTTATCTTTCTATATATCTATATATATTATTTTTCTTTCTCCATATCCCTACTCTGTCTTTATATTTATATATTTTTTTCCTCTAATTATTTCTCTCTGGATTTAACCATTTTTAACTATATATATATAAATATAATATATATTTTTTTAAATATGTATATATATACTTTTATTATTTTAACTCTTTCCCTCATTAATCTCGTTTCTTTATCTCTCTTACACTTTCTCTCCCCCTTCTCTTTCCTTCACCCCCATTCTCTCTCTCTCTTCCTATATATATAATTTGTGTGTCTTCTCTTCACTGATTATGTTTCTCCTATAGATATTATTGGTTTTTTGTTTTGTTGGTGGGGTTTTTTAGGTATAACTAAAGGCAATTTTTTCTTTCAATTTAGGATAGAGTGGAGATGGATTAAAACACCTGTTAGATTATCATTGCTGTCTGTGCCCCCATTAGGGAGATTCACTCTCTCTATTTGTCCTGATTTATCACCCAGAATGACAGTGAAAGAAAATCCAGAATTTTGGGTTGTCACTACAACTGAAATCTTCCAATGGGGACACCGGTTCTGGTGACCTTGGTAACACCAGGGATTTGTCACTTTCCTGCAGCTATGGGACAATAAGTGCAGGGAAATGTCCTCAACTGGATGTTTAAAAAAAAAATAATTCATCCCCCACATCTCTTCTAACATTCTGCTACAACTTTGTGTAGTACTGCCTGGACCTTGAAATTTAAAACTCAAGAAGAAAAAAAAAAAAACCTGACGGGTTATAATTCCCCCTTACTCTATCTAAAATGAACAAAACAATTTGCTTTTAGTTCTACTTTAAATCTTTCCTTCATTAATTATTCCTCTCTTCCTTCTCTCTCTATATTTATATTTCTCATTGGATCATGTTTTTTTCTCTTTCTTGCTGTCTCTGTTTCTTACGCTATCTCTCCTTCTCTAATGTGTGTGTGTGTGTATATATATATATATATATATATATAGTTAGATAGATATAAAATTGTTTTTATTTTATTTTTTTTTGTAACTTTTTATCATTGAATCATGGCTTTTTTTTTTCTCCCCCTCTCTCATTTTCTCTCTCTCTGTAATTATTTCTCTTCGGATTTAACCATCGTTAACTTTTTCTCTCGTTGGATCAAGTTTCTTCTCTACCAGATTCAACTTCTACATTTTTAAAATAATGCCAGATGATTCTTTGTAGGAAAAAAATGTTCCATCTATAAAAATCCACAGTCATAAAATGTTGCCACCCCCCCCCCCCCAAATTTCACACAACTCTCACCCAAGATTTACACATTTGGATTACATAGAAAAAAAAATGTGTGTTTTCAGTTTGAGAGTTCTGTATAAAATGTGAAAACATTTATAAATAGTCCCCTTAAAGTTTGCAGCTGTTTTTATCTTGTAACTTTATTTTTATCTTTTTAATTTCATCCTGTAACATTTTCCATGCAATGAGAACACAACTGTGTAGTTCAAGTTAAAAAGGTCTCTATTTCTTCATGTGCTTATAAATGAGGTGGTAGATGGAAGTCCCTAGGCTGGTCAGAAGCAGACTCCCCTTACATATGTAGATGAATGGATGCAGACATCTGACACAAAGACACAACTGTTCCCAGGAATGCAGCTCTGACTATTCAGACCATTGTTGGTGGTTCCATGTTACCATAATATTGAACATCCCATCCTCATGCTGCTTTGTATCCTCAGCACAACCAGTGCTGACAAGTGATCCTTATTAGCAGGGAAGCCCCTATTTTTATGAATATTGCGTTGGCCCAGTTTTTTTGTTTTCCTCTGACCATAATCTCTGTAATGTTTAAAAACATTCGCTGTTATCTCTGTTGAGGAATCTTACACACACAGTTTAGTTTTGGATAGTGTAAAGAGGGATTAGAACACTTGTCAGTTTTTATTGCTGTCTCTGTTTGTCGTCTTTACCATTTTCTGTGAAAGTAAGAAAAAAATCCCACATTTTGGGTTGTCCCCAGAAAAGTAATAGAGGAGAAATCTTCCAAATGGGACACAAGTTATGGTGGCCTGGAGTACCCCAAGGCATTCCCTTAATTTGCAAGGATTTCCTTTCACTTCATGTTTGGCTATGGGATAGGAAGTGAAAGGAAATCTCCGCAAGGAACACAGATGGAGAAAAAGAAATCTGACAGGCTTTATAACCCTCCCTTGCTCTATTCAAAATGAAAAAAAAAGTTTTGCGTATAGGTCTAGTTTAACAAAGGTTGGAGCATAGAGAAAAATTTACGAGCTAAGTGGTTGCAGCTGATTGCAAATACCTGCCTCTACCTGCCACATTACTATGCTAATCTGGTCGGTGTGCGGCCCTAGACAATCAATAAGGCCTTCAAGTGATTTGGTGCGGCTGACGCAACACATAGAACTTGTGTGACGGCACTATTCATTTGGTACACTGAAAGCATGCCATTATATTTGCATTGAAAATGTTTCTATTCCCTTTCTTATTTCCCCAAAATGTGCACATATTGTATCATTTTCACAATTATCGTTGAGTAATTTTGCTCATTGTAGTCACAGTACTTTAACAAAGTCATATGGCACAGCAGTGATGACACCATTCGGTCACAAAATTCAAATTGATGCTGTGAGACCATAGCGGGAAAATGCTGTATCAGTTAAGAAATAACAAGTC